CCCCAAAACCCCAAAACCCCAAAACCCCAAAACCCCTTTTACATCACATATATTTAAAACCACATTACATAAACTTAAATATGAACAAGACAAGTATGAAGTTCGTCTGCGCTCTGTACAAGATCATCCAGATGTTTGATGACACTAACTCAATCCATAATGGTAAGCAAGGAGCTTGGAATAGGTGGAGAAAGCATTTTTAGAGGGTTTTGGAAGGGTTTTAGGGTACAAGTCTTTTCCTTAAAAATACAAATTTAGCATGCATACATTCCTACGGGTGATAAGGTTATTATTTTAGGTACTTCGTCACAGAATAGTGATGAGACGGCAGATAGTGTTGGTAGTACGGCTAAGGATGGAGATATGAAGTTTGAAGTGTCTGAACCTAATGATAGGAAAGTGTTTGAGGGTATCAAAGCGTACTCTTGTGAAAGCCTGACAGAGCCACAGATTCGAAGAATTAGATTAATGAATTCACTCTTTATATTAAGCAAGGGTTTAGAGAACTACAAGGAGTGTATGATCTCTAGCCTTGTGTATCTAGACAAGCTTACTCAAAACGATTTTGATATCACAAGTCAGAACTTGAACTGGTATGCACTTTTTATGAGTCTTTTATAACATTCCTTTGGGCAATAAGGGAGAGCAAAAATGCTAAGAATATTGGCTATCCATCCACATTCAAGTGCTGATAAAGATAGAGATATCTCTTTCCACTTAATTCACTCCAAAATTCCACTTCCTTTATTAAGTTCTAGTAAATTTAAAAATCATGAAAGCCAATATTTCCCCAAACTTGGGTAAATTTTTAAACTTCTTCATAAAATCATTACTAACCTGCCCCATTCGGCTCCCAAAATTAAGAACTAATCCTCCTACAATTATCCAATCCAAACTCCAACACTCCATTACCCTACCTTCAAATTATCAACCATTTTATTCCCTAAACACTTCCTCACACTCTACCTTAACCCACCGCACACCCACTAGTTTTACCCTACATCTCACTAACTATTCCCTTAACATAAATAAAAATTTTACTCAAAATCTCTAAAACTTGAGCTCTTGTTGTTCAAACAGACTCAACCCTCCTTTTCTATCACATCCTGATAATTCACTTAGACTAGATTCTGAAATTTATTTGAAATAGCCAAACATCATTAAAAATATTTTACTTTCACAGTTTCTTCATAAAATGTTCGAATCAAGCCTAGTCTTGACTATGCTTAGTCTGACACCTTTGTGATAGCAGTTGTAAACAGCAAAATTTCCATTAATTCTTATCTCTTAATTTCCTGTTCAAATAAATTAGTAGAGACCACTGGGCATAATTTTAATCTTAGCAGGCCAAATCGAAACTTGCGCTCTAATTAAGTAATACTCATACTTTCCTATAGGATAGTCCTGTGTTGTATCTGAATTGCCGATAAATTGTTTAACGACTCTCCTATCGCGAATAGAGTATATGCCTTCAAAGCAAACATTCGTTTGGAAAAGTTTAACCGGCTAGAAACGAAGATTTTGAAGAAATTGCAGTTCAATGTAAATATTTCCCCTTCTCAGTACCATCTTTACAAGGAAGAACTTGGAAATTTCTGCGAAAATAGGACCAAAGATCTTGAGAAGCTATATCAGGATTATAAACACGACAAAAGAGAGCTTAAAAAGGTGAAGGAGAACATATCCATTCAACAGCTATATTGTAAGACAAGGAGAGAGCATTATTCTAGCGAGAATAACTACTCAGACCCTGATATGTCAGAGGCAATGACTAAGGTCTCCCAGGGGTTCTTTTCAACTAATTTCCATGAGAATGCTGAAAAGTTCAGATTCGAGTCATATGATTCTAATATCCTTGATGAAATATGAACTGGGACTAAGGTTTACAGAAGCAGGTCACAGACATCCTTGACAAGTCAGCTAAAGGAGTAGAAATCTTTCAATTATATATCAAATTTCACTACTAAATATTTACTAAATAGCCTTGTGGTTTCCCCAACTTCTTACGGTGAAGGAAAAGAGGTGGTCACCCATATTTGATGCAATATAACTGCCAAAATCTTATTATGGCTAAGCGCCCACTGGCTGATTTGTAAGGGAGATTGAAGGATTTGGGGTGAAAGAGGTAGAGAGGAGATTAAAGAGGTTTGGAGGAGTGGAGTTTGGGTATTTTGGGAGGTTGGTAAGGGAGATGTAGGATGAGAAGGTTGTGGCTTGGGGTTAGTTTTGTTATGTTAGGATTGGGATTTGGCAGTGTTGTGTTAGTTTCAATGTAGTATAATTAATTACACACAGTCTCAAAGAAAAGCTTCCCAAAGAACTCCTAAAATTTTCAAAAAATGTCCAAAATCTTCTATAAAATGATATCAACATTCAAATGTCCCAAATCTACCATCTTCATATTTTACTCCTTAAACTCCACTCCTTTTCTTATTCAGCCAAACTAAACTTCCCAGGGGTTTTGGGGTTTTGGGGTTTTGGGGTTTTGGGG